ACTAATTTATTAGTAAAATTTATTAATTCAAAGCAAGAAGAGTGAAAATTAGTAAAAAATTTCCTAATTTTCAATATTGACTGACTGTTTGCTTTTGAATTACTAAATTTGACTAATAAATAAATATTAATTTCTACTAATTTATTAGTCAAAGTTACTAATTCAAAAGCAAAAAGTCTGTAAAAATTAGTAAAAATATTTACTAGTTTGAATTAGTAACTGATTCTTTTTTAAATTAGTAAATTATTAGTAGAAATGGCTATTTATTAATCAAATTTACTAATTAAAAATCAAAACTGACAATTTTTTATTATTTCATCTTTTATGCCGACGAAATTTTCATTAAAACGAAACAAATATTCGACATTAATTTTTTGGTGTAAATTTAAAAATTAACCAATCAGACATCAAAAAAATTCTTATTCATAAATTTTTAAATTCTTGACAAACTTTTTCTGTCATTTATTTATTGTTACGAATCCTAAATGAAAATTTTGTCATTTTAAATATTCTGTCTAAGGAATAAAAAAAAAATGAAAATTCGATGCGATGGAAATTTTGTAATTTAACAAAGAAAGCAAATATATGAAATAAAAAACGTTATTTATAAATTTTATAAAATATTTTTAAACTTTCAACAATTTTTTATGCAGTCAAAGTCGAACAATCAAATTCGATCACCACAAAAAGCTGTTCTAATAAATTCATGACTGAATAAATAATCTCAATTTTTTAGAATCAATAAAATGGGGAAAATTTTCTGTTTTGGGATTTTTATAACAAACAATAAATTTAAATAACTTTAAAAAAAGTAATAATATATTTAATAACGTTTGTACCGAAAGTTTCTGTAATTATCTGAATCAAATTGATCGTTCGATGAAAGTATAATTAATAATTTTATTATTTTCTAAAATTTAAATAACATTTTCCCCTTCTAGAGAATTCAGGACTCCTGCAATTTTTTTACAGTGAAAGGTCACTAAATCTGTTAAAATCTACGCTTATAAGGTATCTACTCTTGTTATAATAATCTGTCATTGTAGTGAAGGCTAAGACATTGAAGTATTCAGTTAACCGCAGAGTAATCTAACCTTGATGAATTGAAACATTATTAAATTCTCAAATGTAAATTTTTAAATTACCAAATTCATTATTATTCTCAACTTGATGTTTTATCCAATCTCAAAAACAAATATCTGCTCTTGCATTAATTATTTCTATTAATATTATTATTAAATCTCTAATTCTAACTCTCTAAACTCTAAAAAAACTAAGAAAAAATATTTCTATTAATAAATCTAAATTATAGTGAAGATTTATTCGAATTAGTAAAAATTTTAACTAATTTTTTACTGGAATTATACTACAAAATTTACTATAAAATTAGCGAAATTTTTAGTTTTTCTATTGTAGAGATTCATGATTAACTTTTCATCGATATAAAATTGCTGAAATAAATAAAAATTCCTAATTCATAAATTGTTTGGATTTTATTATTCCCAAAGAACCCGCAACGGAAGTCGTATAATCCAAAAATGTATATAAAAGAAATTCATACTTAGAACGTGGAGGTTATAAGTTGGCAAAAGAAAGGATGTTTCGAGAATAAAAGAGAACTAAAAAGAAGAGACAAATGATGCAGAAGGAAAGAATAAGGAATGCGGTAGAACCGACCTTTTGACTTCCATGTAACAGATTGCATCACTTTACTCTTCATTTTCAAAATTACTTCATTTCTAAGTTTTAATTCTCTAATTAATTCGAAAATCCAAATCTAAATTTCCAATCTTAATATTAACATAAAATGCTAAAGTTAATATTAACATAAATTACTAATCGTACTATTAACATAAACTTCTATTATTATTATTAACATAAATTTTCTAATATTATCGTTGAAGTTAAATGAACGAAGCAAAAAATCAAAATTATTAAACTAGCAGCAAAAAATCACGAAGTAAAAGGAAAAATTCATAATCGTTTGATGTAAAAATCACTCTCAAAATCTGAATTAGTGAAAAAGTTACTAAAAGAAGTCGCCCACCAAAAGATTTATAAAAATCATTTTACTAGAAATCAGTGAAATTAATTAATTTAATAATTAATAACTAGAATAGTAATTAATTAATATAATAACTAATTAACTACTAATTAAAAACCTATTAATTCAATTAAATTTAAATTAACCCGAATTTTTTTGCAAAAAAACACAATTTATTCCAAGCTTTATTTTTCCAAATTTTTATTCGTTGCAATTTTCATTTAAAACAATTCTGATTTAATCGAAGTCTAATTTATCAGATTTCTCACTCAACAGAATTTCGATTGAGCCAAATTGTTAAATTACAAAATTTCCATCTCATCGAATCTTCATTTGTCAGAATTTTCATTTATTTTTTATTATTCATTCGACAGAATTTATAAAAAGATAAAATTTTCATTTAGGATTCGTAACAATAAATAAACGACAGAAAAAGTTTGTTAAGAAATTAAAAATTGATAAATGATAATTTTCTTGATGTCTGATTAGTTAATTTTTAAATTTACACCAAAAAACTGATGTCCAATATTTGTTTCGTTTAAATGAAAATTTTGTCAGCATAAAAAATGTCATAATAAAAAATCGGCAGTTTTGCTTTTTAATTAGAAAATTTGATTAATAAATAGCCATTTCTACTAATAATTTACTGATTCAAAACAAAAAAAATCAGTTACTAATTCAAATTAGTAAATATTTTTTTACTAATTTTTAGTATTTACTGATTTTTTGCTTTTAAATTAGTAACTTTGACTAATAAATTAGTAGAAATAACTATTTATTTATTAGTAAAATATACAAATTCAAAAGCAAAAAAACCGGCCACTACTTCAAATTAGGAAATATTTTTACTAATTTTTACTCTTCTTGCTTTGAATTAATAAATTTTACTAATAAATTAGTAGAAATTACTGTTTATTTGTTAGTAAAATTTACTAATTAAAAAGCAAAAAGTCAGTCACTAATTAAAGTTAGTAAATATTTTTACTAATTTTTACTAGTTTTTTGCTTTTGAATTAGGAAATTTGACTAAAAAATTAGTAGAAATAACTATTTATTTGTTAGTAAAATATACAAATTCAAAAGCAAAAAATCAGTCACTGGTTCAAATTAGGAAATATTTTGACTGATTCCTACTCTTTTTGCTTTGAATTAGTAAATTTTACTACTTATTTGTTAGTAAAATTTACTAAGTAAAAAGCAAAAACTAATAAATTAGTAGAAATTATTATTTATTAGTCAAATTTATTAATTCAAAAGCAAGAAGTCAATTACTAATTCAATTTAGTAAATATTTTTCCTGGCTTTTTGCTTTTGAATTAGTAAATTTGACTAACAACTTAGTAGAAATTACTATTTATTTATTTGTAAAATGTATTAATAATTTAATACAAAAGCAAAAAGTCAGTAAAAATTAGTAAAAATATTTACTAATTAGAAATAGTACCTAACTGAATTTTTGCTTTGGAATTAGTAAAATTCAATAATAAATTACTAGAAATAACTATTAATTAGTCAAATTTACTAATTCAAAAACAAAAAGTCAGTAAAAATATTTTCTAATTTGAACTAATGACTAAATTTTTGCTTTTGAATTATTAAATTTTACTAATAAATAAAAAATAATTTCTACTAATTTATTAGTCAAATTTACTGATTCAAAGGAAAAAGTCATAAAAAATATTTACTAATTTGAATTAGTGACTGATTTTTTGCTTTGCAAATAGTAAAATTCACAAAAAAATTAGTAGAAGTGACAATTTATTAGTAAAATTTACTAATTCAAAAACAAAAAGTCAGTAAAAATATTTTCTAATTGGAATTAGTGACGAACTTTTTGCTTTGGAATTAGTTAATTTTACTAATAATTTAGTATAAATGACTATTTTTTAGAAAAATTTACTAATTCAAAAGCAAAAGCTAATAAATTAGTAAAAATTACTATTTACTAGTAAAATTTACTATAATTCAAAAGCAAAAACTAATAAATTACTTAGTAGAAATTACTACATATTTATTAGTCAAATTTACTAATTCAAAAGCAAAAACTAATAAACTAGTAGAAATGACTTTATGATTAGTAAATTTTACTAATAAATAGTCAATTTTTAAATTTACACCAAAAAATTGATGTCGAATATTTGTTGCGTTTAAATGATAAAACAATTGCTATTAATCACTACATCATAGAACAATCAGTACCAAACCAACCATCATCGAGCGAATGACAAGCAGCAAAGATAAATTTAAATTCCAAATCAAATGCAAAAATTCAAGTATCAAACATCCGAAGCATTTAATCATTTAATCAACTTAAAGCTTATAAATAGCATCATCACTTCTAATTATTTGAAACCAATTTCTCGAGCACTTTCCAGAAGATGTGAAAACTTCGATCCCCCAATTATTGATCGAATCAAATTCATAAATAATAAATTTGAAAAGCAACATTAACAACAAGTACGTAGGTTCTTGAGGGAGAGATGTGAGACTTGAAACCCGGTGCGCTCGTTGATTCGCGTCAGTTTAGCGTCAAACGTGGAAGCGTTCACATCGTCGTCATTGTGCCGGTGCGGTGTCCAGTTTACAGGGGATATCACACATATAGTTATTTCAGGTATACACGCATGTAGGGTAAAATATAGTAAATGTGCCGGTTTCGAGCCGCTTATATTCGAAAGGCAAAAGGTTTCTTCAAAGACCGAGTGTTTGTCAGTAGGACACAACTTCAGTGCCCGTGAATGTAAAAAGCAAAACAGTGATTTAAATTCTCACATATCTCTCATGCAAATAAAAATGAATTTTAGCCAAAATGATAATAATTCACTTGTTGGATCATTGAAAGTAAACTTAAAGAAAAAGCGCGTCGCCATGGGTTACCAGTGTTGTGTGTTCTGATGAGTAAGGTGTTGTGTTAACGGTTCACAGCTGATCCAGATGTCTTTGAGCAAATAAGATTGACACTTGAAAGAAAAGGAAGAAAATAATAAATAAAAAAAAAAGAAGAAAAGAAAAGCTATAAAGTAGAGAAAACGTCGTCAACTATGCAGCAGCAGCGTATTTACATCTGTAACGTTTCGATCTACTCGTAGAGTAAGTAAAACTATTCTCCTTATAAAATTAAAATCTGTTATTAAACAGAAAACTTGAAATCAAAAATACATCTTTAGGTTTTGAGAATTATTTACGAAAACTGTTTTCAACTATTCGAATTCGAATTTTAACTATTCAACTATTCGAAAGAAAGAAGATTCCTAGTTTTAGATTTACATTTCACGATGAGGAAGTGTACTTATAGGAAATGTGGGACAGGTTGAAGAACCTGAATACCGAAAGTCTCAGATGCTCGTTTACCTGAGACCTTTACTGCGGTGGAGTTTGGTCTCCAGTCAAAAGCAAAATCACTTCTCAAAGAGTGGAGAGTAGAGGTCAAGAGGTCGTGTTCATTGCTGAAGATGATTCACTTCTACGCCAATTAGCAATTGAAACAAGTTTATTCAAATCATCTCGGGAGACAAAAAAAATCACAAAACAATTTTTCATCCCAATTATAAATATCCGCAAGTATCTGCAAATCAGAAAGATCCGTCGCCACTCCGGAAGGAAATTATCATCGAATATTCTTACAAGTATTCCTCTATTTATCAAAATAAATGTCCGAAAATATACCAAACATATTACAGCAAAAAAACATACCAAAATTAAAAATTTACAAACCAAATACTCAAAGAGAACTCGATACCGAAAAATACAAACCAAATACTAAAAAAGAACTCGAAACGGAAAAATACAAACCAAATACTCAAAGAAAACTCAACTACTAACGTAGTTGAGTTCTCTTTGAGTATTTGGTTTGTATTTTTCCCTTTCAGTTCGACTCAAAGTAAAAATTATGACATTCCAGAAAGATTGTTTCGAAAATTATTACTTTCCGAACAGAATAAAAGAAAACTTAGTGATTTCGTATACAACATCCGGTTGTGCATAGAGAGTTATGAAACAACAACAAAACGAAAAGAGAAAAACTATATTGAATTTCAATTATTATTTTTAATAATCCAATGACGGGAGAAAGGAATCTCAATTTTATTCGTCGGTGATGCGAGTGGAAATAATAATGAACCAATTAAACTTGTTTCGAGCACACGAAAAAAGAAGAAATTGAAAACTAAACCCTTTTTCAATCGTTTGAATATTTTTTTTTCTCGAGAAGATAAATGATGGCCTTCAAAAATCGATTATATGTCAGTGTCACAGACATTCTATATCCTTTATATATCCGAATCGCACTCAAGGCTCTCGATATGAGAACGATGACCGAAACTAACCGGAAAGTTCTTCGCTTACTTTTCATTATGACTCCTTTGCACATTATAAGAGCAATAATTCCCTAAATAATATTATTATTACATCTAATATTATTTATAATAAAATAAATATTATAAATAATTATAATTATAATTATATTATAAATACAATAAATATTATAAATATTATTAAAAATATTGGATATTTATAATAAAATACAAATATTCGATATTAATAATTTAATTTCGGAAAAAATATTCCAAAAACATCCAACTTTGAATGTTAAAAAAAATTAAAGCTGTATTTAACGTACAAAAAAGTTCAAAAAGTTGCAAATTAATTTAATGTGCAGAAAGTTTATATAAAGAAGCACATAGATATAATTTTATATACCGAAAGTTTAGTCACAAATTTTACCTGGTGCAACTTAATTTTAAAAATTAAGTTACAAATATATTTAGTGCCTACTCACTTTGTTTGAATTCCCAGGGAGTCATTTTTATCCTCAGCGCACGACGAAACTGAAACAAAGGAGAAAAAATATTTATACATATTTATTTCATAACATATTTTGAAATATATATATAACATGTATTATTTAATGTTACGGATTAATGGCTTTTCTATATATTGTAAATCCCAAAGCGATACATTTATGTAATGAATGTAATTAATATTGATCAATAAAGTCGAATCTGAAGAATCAACAAGAGTTGACATTGCTTTTATTAATATCGGGAAACGTTAATATTAATCAAAATACTTTCACCCAGCAGTTTTATATAAAAAGAAACTGAAAATTAAATTTTTATTTCTAATTAAATTGAAAATTAACTTTTTATTGATAATTAAAAGATTTAAAATTTATTAATTTATTTTATTAATTATTACTTATAATAGTATAATTTATATTATTATTATTATTATTATTATTTTTTTTTTATTTATATTATTATTACTTATAATAGAGCAATTCCACGCCAAGTGATCATAAGAATTTTCGATGATTTTAGCAATATTAAAAATACTTTCAGAATTTCTTCCTTTTTATACATGGAATAAAAGTGTATAAAAGTTTTTTTAAAATTTTCAAAATTTTTTGAGTTACCTCTTACTCAAAATTTTGGTCGGTTTTTCAAAAAATGCACATAACTTTTTTTCTTGTTAACCGATTAAGATAATTTTTTTTGGAAAATACTCATAATAAGAAGTACTTTAAAGAAAAAAAATAAAATTTAATAAAAATTTTTTTTTTGCCCGAAAAAAATTTAAAAAAATTTTTTGAATTCAAATTTTGAAAAAAATATATCTTTGATTTGAAAATTTTTTTTTGGTAAATATTGTCAATTAAGTAAAGAATACTTCCTGTAAATTTAATTATGGGACAAAAATAACTTTACGCGAAAAAAAATAAAGTGTGCAGCGCGGCGTGCCGGGACTTGTGCTTATGGCGGCGAAAGTTTCGTTTCAAATCACTCTAATAGGTCACAATTCTTTACCAAAACGCTTTTTCTTTTTTTAAAAATCTTCGTAATTAAATTCTCTATCAATCTCTCGAGCCTTATTTTTAAATTTTTGTTTTTAAACATTTTTTAAATAACAATAAGTATTAAAAAAATCATAAAATCGTAAAATATATTTTTTTAGTTTTATTAATTAAGAAAATTAATCAAAAAACTTATTAAAATAATTTTTGATTGATAAAAAATAAAAAATTATTTAGTTAAAAATTGTTATACAATAAAAATTTATTATTTTGTCATAAACTGTACTTAGGGTTAAAAATTTCTATTTTTTCTGAATTGTGCAATTTTTCATAAGTAAAGTATTCAAGTATAAAAGAAAAAATAAAAATTTATTATTTAACCCTTGTTTAAACAGTTTATAATTTTCAATTTTTCAATTAATTGTTTAGAAAAAATTAGAAATTTCTAACCCAAATGAAACTTATGAAAAAATGAAAAAAGTACATAAGAAACAAATATAAATTTCTTACCCTAAGTATAAATAGTTTATGAAAAAATAGCAACAATTAATTGTTTAAACAATGTTTTAATAAATAATTGTTTTTTTATCATCAGTAGATATATTACTTATGAAAAATTGTACAATTGAGAAGAAACTAGTAATTTCTAGGCCTAAGTATACAGTTTATAAAAAATAACAACAATTAATTAATTAAAAAGTGTTTAATTAATTTATTCTTTATCAATCAAACATTATTTTAATAGGTTTTTTAAATAATTTTCTTAATCAATAAAACTAAAAAAATATATTTTACGATTTTATGATTTTTTTAATACTTACTGTTATTTAAAAAATGTTTAAAAACAAAAATTCAAAAATAAGGCTCAAGAGATCCATAGAGAATTTAATTACGAAGATTTAGAAAAAAAAAAAGCGTTTTGTTAAAGAATTGTGACCTATAGTGTGATTTGAAACGAAACTTGCGCGGCCATAAGTGAATACATGCACAAGTCCCGGCACGCCGCGCTGCACACTTTATTTTTTTTCTCGTAAAGTTATTTTTGTCCCATAATTAAATTTACAAGAAGTATTCTTTACTTAATTGACAATATTTACCAAAAAAAAATTTTCAAATCGAAGATATATTTTTTTCAAAATTTGAATTCAAAAAATTTTTTTAAATTTTTTTCGGGCAAAAAAAAATTTTTTATTAAATTTTATTTTTTTCTTTAAAGTACTTTTTATTATGAGTATTTTCCAAAAAAAATTATCTTAATCGGTTAACAAGAAAAAAAGTTATGTGCATTTTTTGAAAAACCGACCAAAATTTTGAGTAAGAGGTAACTCAAAAAATTTTGAAAATTTAAAAAAAACTTTTATACACTTTTATTCCATGTATAAGAAGGAACAAATTCTGAAAGTATTTTTAATATTGCTAAAATCATCGAAAATTCTTATGATCACTTGGCGTGGAATTGCTCAATAGTATTATTTCAATAATATTTAATATTACTCTCTAAATTTCAATTAATAAAAATGTTTATTAATTTAAATTAGTGACTGACTTTTTGGTTTTGAATTAGTAAATTTTACTAATAAATAGTCATTTCAACAAATTTATCAGTCAAATTTACTAATACAAAAGCAAAAAGTCAGTAAAAATATTTACTGATTTGAATTAATGACTAAATTTTTGCTTTTCAAATAGTAAAATTAAAAAAAATTAGTAAAAGTGAGAATTTATTAGTACAATTTACTAAATCAAAAGCAAACAGTCAGTCATTAATTGAAATTAGTAAATATTTTTACTGACTTTATACTTTTTAATTAGTAAATTTGACTAACAAATTAGTAGAAATTACTATTTATTTATTAGTAAAATTTATTAATTCAAAAGCAAAAAGTCAGTAAAAATTAGTAAAAATATTTACTAATTTGAATTAGTGACTGACTTTTTGCTTTTCAAATAGTAAAATTCAGGAATAAATTTGTAGAAGTGACAATTTATTAGTAAAATTTACTAATTCAAAATCAAAAAGTTAGCAAAAAGTCAGTAAAAATATTTACTAATTTGAATAAATAACTGACTTTGTGCTTTTGAATTAGTAAAACTCATTTATATTTTAGTAGAAATTTCTGTTTATTAGTAAAATTTAGTAATTCAAAAGCTAAAAAATCAAACACTAATTCAAATAAGTAAATGTTTTTACTGGTTTTTTGATTTCTAATTAGTAAATTTGACTAACAAATTAGTAGAAATTACTATTAATTTATTAGTAAAATTTATTAATTCAAAAGCAAAAAATTAGTTAAAATATTTACTAATTAGAATTTTGCTATGGAATTAGTCAAATTCAATAATAAATTACTAGAAATGACTATTTATTAGTTAAATTTACTAATTCAAAAACAAAAAGTCAGTAAAATCATTTTCTAATTTGAATTAATGACTAAATTTTTGCTTTTGAATTAGTAAACTTTACTAATAAATAAATAATAATTTCTACTAATGTATTAATCAAATTTACTGATTCAAAGGAAAAAATCAGTAAAAATATTTTCTAGTTTGAATTAATGACTGAATTTTTGCTTTTGAATTTGCAAAATTTGACTAATAAATAGTAATTTCTACTAATGTATTAATAAAATTTACTAAATTCAAATGCAGCAAGTGAGGCACTAAAACAAATTAGTAAACACTTTTACCGATTCAAACACAGACAGTACTTATATTATTTTTTGTAATAATAATAATAATAAAAATTATAACAATAATAATAATAATAGTTTCAATAAAGCAATATTCTCTTAAATTTCAAGAGAACCATTTCATACAGTTTTTATATATACATACATAAAAAAAATTATGCAAAAAATATTGCTTCTTCATAAAGGAAAAGTAGTACATTATTTACGACTAAAAATTACAGACAAAAAAAGAGGAAAAACAAAACAAAAGGAAAAGTTGCATATAAAAGATATCCGCTAAAAATGGAAATTATATATGCATTTACTTCTTTTCTATTTTATAAACCGCAAAGATAAAAAATAAATAAATAGAAAGGAGAAATTATTTGAAAATAATGAAATGAAAATTTAATCTTCAATGCTACGATAGTTTAATAAATTTAATATCTAGTTACGAGACTAAATTAATTATAAATGTATATTGTGCCGAAGGGGACGTTATATATATATATATATATATATATATATATATATATAGTTTTAAAATATTCATTTACTCTATAAACAATTCACAAAGAGAGACAAAACGGAGAAAAAAGGAGAGAAACCTATTTCAGAGTATTTAAGCTGATGAATAAATCAATTCATATTTGAATAAATTTAAACCAGAGAGAAAGAGAGAGAGAGAGGAGAGATATAGGTACATCCCCCAGTGGTTGCACTAATTAAGTGGATATGGTGTGTATTTTGAATGAAATAATGAAACAGCATCACCTGTGCTTCATAATATTACTTTAATAATTCACATTACCATTTTATTATTTAAAACCAAAAATGGCCCAAATTCGCCAAAGTTATAAAAACTTGTGTTAAAAATAAAAATTCACATTTATCGCGCAGCTAATTATTATTAAAACAATTTTTTTTTATATTGAATTTAAAAATCTTTGCCACTCTCTAATTTTGAATTAGTAAAAGTGTTTACTAATTTTAATTAATGATTCCCGTTTTGCTTTTGAATTATAGTAAACTTTACTAACAAATAGTAATTTCTACTAATTTATTACTAAAATTTACTAATTAATTAATTAATTTACTAATTAATTGAGCCAAAATGTCACTGATTCCAAATTTTGATATGCACAATTTTTTTTGGAAATTAACTACTTTTTGAGAATAGTTACCTACGAAAAATTAAATTTTTAAGCAAAAAGACAATAAATATCTTCTCATTATTTTTTTATTTTCAGTTTTAAAAACGTTGCAGACTTCAGCTTCATAAACAAGAACAGAATATATTTTTGAATTTACTATAAATATTCAGACAAATAAAATTTTTAAATCACAGCAGTAGTTATTTTCTATA